TTTTGCTTGTTTTACATATATATATATATATTTAATTAGTTTTGTCATATGCCATGGCTGCGTTTGTCTATTGTGTAGTCATGCATAGCTAAGGTGAAAACATCTCAATTTTCAGTCAAGTAATGAATTAATACACGTTAATGAGACAATTATATTTTATTTACTGACAACAACAGGAAACATGAATAAATGAGTAAACAAAAGTAACAGTGACAATAAATAAATACAAGTCATCGACACATGAAACAAAGCTTTATTCAAACATATTGTTTTAACAATCATGTATTTACAGACGGTAAATAGACATATCTACTGCATCTCAACACAGCTGAGACAGTTCTGCAGCTTTATTCTGATGAAGCAGCTGACCACTGTGTCCACCTTCACCTGTCTCTGCCGTACATCACGACCCTCACTGCTGCAGTCAGACTGAATCTGATCATGGATGAGAAAGGGACATCGAGGCTGTCGTTGCCTGAGTGCACGGAGAGGATGAGGAAGACCATGATGACGCCCCTAAACCACACAACACTGAACAAGAGCAGGAGAACATGTGCGGGACAATCTAGCTGCTGCTGCATCTGCTCTCCATGAGCACGACTATCTGTAAAACATTTACACAGTAAAACATTTTACAATTAATGTCAGCATTTAATCTCATATGTTTACAATGACATGCTAATTTTGTCAAAGCTTCTTTACTTTTGTGGTTTAGTGGGCAAAACCACTGAACTGGTCAGCAGAAGGTTGCTGGTTCGATCTCTGCAGTCGTCACCGCTGTGTCCTTCAGCAAGGCTCTTTACTCCAGGTTGCTGCATGGGGATTGTAATTAGAGCACTGTAAGTCACTTCGGATAAAAGTGTCTGACAAATGAATAAAAAAAGCATTTACAAAAATCACATTTACGTTTGTGTCTTGGGCACAAACGTTCAATAAAACTGCTGATTTCTTAAAGTTTATTTCTTCAAGGTACTACTATAATATAAATGCATGCATATATTTCATTTGGTTTCTTTTTGGGGGGTATAAAGTGTTAGTTTATCCCAACATAAATCCAGTAATTTACTCGCCTCCACACTGTTCAATCCTTGGGGTATTTAATTTTTTTTCTTGAACACAAAAGGGGAGTTTGGTTAAGTTTGTCCTGCTGGTTTCTATTCATATGGGAGACTGACTTTCAGAAGCTTCATGACATTATTTGATGATGCTTTTGAAGCTTCTGAAACTCGGGTTCCATTGACTGAGGATGTGATTTTTGTCAAGGTTGTCCTTCTGGTCTCTGTTCATACAACATCAATGTCTTTTGGTCTTTCTCTAGATGCTCTCGCTGGCTCTGAGGTCACCGAGGATGAAGAGACCACAGGAACATCCGGTTCAGATGAGACAGTAAGAGGTGGAGTGATGGAGCGACTCATCCATGACACTGGACCATTTCCAGGATGATGCTGTGGACTCTCCATCCTCATTGCTCACACCAGTCTGAGGACATTTCTGATCATATAAAAATGCACAAATACAATACAAAAGCAGTCATTTAGCACAATGTCATTTGATTTCTGTATTAGAAGTAACAGAATGATCTTAATTTATATTTTTGTTTCAGGTTTTCCCTTTTTTCACAAATGCCGCCGTCACCTTGCCTTGCAGGTCCTGCTCCACCTCAAAAGCTCTGCAGCAAATGCACAGGAATCAAGAATAAGAAAAGTGCTGTGATAACTCTATTTGAAATTACAATAATTAAAATAAACTACAACTTATGATGGCCGTCCCCGAGTTTAGCCCACGGAGGGCTCCAGTCCCAGAGTTTAGCCCAGAGAGTGCTCCAGTCCCCGAGTTTAGCCCAGAGAGGGCTCCAGTCCCAGAGTTTAGCCCAGAGAGGGCTCCAGTTCCAGAGTTAAGCCCAG